CTAAAGCTCTATTGCCCCTCTGTCTCCTATGGATTATATAGAGCACTTTGCTCTGCACTCATGTTCAGCCAACTGAAACTGTTGGATGACGTTACTCGGTAGGTCCAGGCTCTAGAAAGATCCCAACTTTAATGCCAGGATCTGCCTAGATGCCTGGACCAGCAGCTGACTTATCCTCTTGGCGAGCCACTGAAAGCCCAAGTCAGCCTCTCCCTTCCCCCTCCACAGCCCAACACTCCAGTGAGCACTGGAGGGGCAGAGCAGAGAGCCAGTGATTGACAGTCACCACTCTCTGCTCACTGAAGTCTAAGAACTGAGCGATCAGCTGTCTTTGATCACTCATTTCTCAGTTTTATAATTCAATATTTTTATTGAAAATCTGTAAAAAGTAGTATACAGAAAAATAGAAAACATAGCCCACCTACATGGTGAGTTGTGGCTAACAAACAGATTCATGGAATATATAGGCACATAAGAATTTATCAATCAATGACGTTGTAAACAAGAAAACACAACCCCAGTAGGGTAGTAAATATTCCATCGGTCAGTAAACATGGGCAGTTTCATATAGCCATCTAACAAAAATAAGGAGACCGAAAAAAATTAAACAGAAAGAGTCAAAGAAGAGGATAAAGAATATATCAGGGGAAAAAAAAGAGAAGAAAGAAAGAAGGAGGAAGGAAAGAAAAGAGAGAAGAGAAGAGGGCCAGCCATAGGTCCATTAAATAATAGAGATATGCCTAATCCATGGTTCCCATGTAACCTCAAATTTAGAAGTATTATTGCTAACAATACTTGTAAGTTTGTCATTTATCCAGGGGCGGACTGACCATTTGGAAACTTGGGCACTGCCTGAGGGCCTGGGGTCAGTAGGGGGCCCCATGAGATGCCCCTGGTACCTTTTTTCATAGGCTTTTTTGAGTTTGGGCAAGGACACAGGGGCCCCATGATCTCCTATTGCCCGGGAGCCCCATGAGTTGTCAGTCCACCCCCGCATTTATCATAATCCAATTAAGTTTCTGTTTGACCAAGTCTAGAAGAATTGATGACTGTCTCCAACATCTAGCTATAGCAATTTGTGCTGCCAACAAAAGATAAGGAATTAATTTACTGATTTCTTGGGAATATCATTGGGCAACAGATGACAGTTCTCAGTTTTAAAGGTGGTAGTGGTCCAATTCTGCATCCGCCCAAGTGAGCATGCTTGTTTTTTTTTTTGTTTTCCAAACTTCTCTTTTTAATGGCATTTGTATACCTTCCTAGAGATTGGCTTTGATCTTATTTTTCTGCAATTGACTGCTAGGACGTGATGTATAAAAATGAACTTAGGGAGTTTTTGTAAAATTTTTCAAGTGTAGCAGCCGAGATGAACCCAAATAGTCAACATAGTGTATCTACAGTCACACTTTAGTTTTGAATGAAGCGTACAAGTATTACAACCCCTGTCAGGTTTATGTTGATGGCTGTATCTTACTAGGGAGGGCCAACTTGTTTGTCCTGGTGACTCTTTTAACTTGAGGAAAATTCAAAATGTTATGTTTTTTTAATTGAGACAGAATTTTTTTGAAAAAAAATCTTTTGCTGAGACCTTTTTTGGTGACTGTCCATATGACTTTGGATATATTTCCTCTCACTTCCTGTTAGTGAATGGGAAATCGTCCAAACTGATGGTTTGGAGATTTCTCTGCTCCATCCAAACTCTATACTCTTCACCATCCAAACTCTATACTCTACACCGATTCTCTGCTCCATCCAAACTCTATACTCTACACCGTTTCTCTGCTCCATCCAAACTCTATACTCTACACCGATTCTCTGCTCCATCCAAACTCTATACTCTACACCGATTCTCTGCTCCATCCAAACTCTATACTCTACACCGATTCTCTGCTCCATCCAAACTCTATACTCTACATCATTTCTCTACTCCATCCAAACTCTATACTCTACACCGATTCTCTACTCCATCCAAACTCTATACTCTACACCGATTCTCTGCTCCATCCAAACTCTATACTCTACACCGATTCTCTGCTCCATCCAAACTCTATACTCTACACCGATTCTCTGCTCCATCCAAACTCTATACTCTACACCGATTCTCTGCTCCATCCAAACTCTATACTCTACACCGATTCTCTGCTCCATCCAAACTCTATACTCTACACCGATTCTCTGCTCCATCCAAACTCTATACTCTACACCGATTCTCTGCTCCATCCAAACTCTATACTCTACACCGATTCTCTGCTCCATCCAAACTCTATACTCTACACCGATTCTCTCATGCTCCATCCAAACTCTATACTCTACACCGATTCTCTGCTCCATCCAAACTCTATACTCTACACCGATTCTCTGCTCCATCCAAACTCTATACTCTACACCGATTCTCTGCTCCATCCAAACTCTATACTCTACACCGATTCTCTGCTCCATCCAAACTCTATACTCTAGACCGATTCTCTGCTCCATCCAAACTCTATACTCTACACCGATTCTCTGCTCCATCCAAACTCTATACTCTACACCGTTTCTCTACTCCATCTAAAGCATAAAAAACATTTTTGCTATCGATGCACTTTGTTATTTTTTTCAGGTACTTATATAGCACTGTCAATTAACACAGCACTTTACATATATATATTGTACATTCACATCAGTCCCTAACCCTCAAGGGGTGTACAATCTAAGGTCTCTAACTTACATTCATACATACACATATTAGGGCCAATTTAGACAGGATCCAATTAACCTACCAGCATGTCTTTGGAGTGTGGGAGGAAACACACGCAAGCACAGGGAGAACATGCAAACTCCATGCAGGAGGCGCCATGGTCAGGAATCAAATCCATGACCCATACACTGGAAGGCAGACATGCTAACCACTAAGCCACTGTGCCACCCATGGCTGCTATGGCTCCATGCAAACTCTATACACCGATTTTCTACTCCATCCAAAGCATTAACCGTTTCAATACCGGGCAATTTTACCCCTTCCTGCCCAGGCCATTTTTCAGGTTTCAGTGCTCTCACAATTTGAATGACAATTGCGCGGTCATAGAACATTGTATCCAAACTAAAATTTTATCATTTTCTTCACACAACTAGAGCTTTCTTTTGGTGGTATTTAATCACCGCTGAGGTTTTTATTTTTTGCTAAATTAACAAAAAAAGACCGAAAATTTTGAAAAAAAACACGTTTTTCTTTGTTTCTGTTATAAAAGTTTACAAATAAGTAATTGTTCTTCATAAATTTAGGCCGAGATGTATTCTGCTACATGTCTTTGGTGAAAATAACCCAAATTAGGATGTATTATTCAGTCTGTAGGAAAGTTATAGAGTTCACAAACTATGGGATAGATCTGACTATTCACCAATCCTGAAGTACTGACAGCCAATCTAATTTCAGTACAGATATCCCCCAAATGTCAGGACAGTACAGATATCCCCCAAATGTGAGGACAGTACAGATATCCCCCAAATGTCAGGACAGTACAGATATCCCCCAAATGTCAGAACAGTACAGATATCCCCCAAATGTCAGGACAGTACAGATATCCCCCAAATGACCCCTTTTTGCAGAGTAGACAGTCCGACGTATTTCATAAGAGGAATGGCGAGTTTTTTTGAAGTTGTATTTTTTTTGTCATAATTTTTTGGAAAATTTAAAAATTTAAAAAAATTATTTTCACTATTTTGTTTTTTACATACTGTCACCAGTGCAGTACAGCGTCATCATATAACTGGCATGGCAGTGAACAGGGACACTGACTGGTGACAGTATGAAAAAAAAAATATATATATATATTTTTTTTATTTTTTTTTATTTTTTTATTATTTTTAATTTTTTATTACTTTTTTTTATTTTTTTTTAAGATTTGTTTTCATATTTTACTAGGACCAAAGTAGTACAATGTTACCATAGTAACACTGTACTACTTTGGGGAAGTGATCAGTATTTTTTTTTTTTTTTTTTACACAATTTGCTTATAGCAAAGAATTACTTTGCTATAAGCAAGCATTTACCTGAATGACATCGATTCATTCAGGTTTTTTTTTTTTTGTGCTTAGCTGTGATTTGGTCACAGCTAATCACATGACATGTGCATGTGATTAGCTGTGACCATTCACAGCTAGACACTAGTATACAATGGATGGCATGAATGAAGCCATCCATTGTATACAAATGTCATGTGACCTGCTGTGATTGGTCACAGCAGGTCACATGGTACCAGCAACGGGGGCTGGTACTCAGATCTGTCATCGGCCGTGTCCGAGGTACACGGCCGGTGACAGATTGCGCCGCTGCGAGGCTCTGCATTAGCGCAAACTGCGCATGTGCGGGTGCACGCCAAATGGCGTGCACCCGGAATGCCGATGCACTTTTGAAGCCGCCAAACGGCCATTGGCCGGGCGGCTAATGGTTAAAAACATATTTGCTATCGATGCACTTTGTTATGGTCCCTAAAGTAGCCAATCATTTTTATTTTTATACAGAAAAAGCATATACATTTGCAAATGTCGTCGTATCATCCCTTAAAAAGTCTTTAAAGAATTCTACCACATTTAGCTTATTTCAAGATCAGGTGAAAATCCACATCTCTTTGGGTCGGTCAGATTGGTGTCCTCGGTGAAAGCCCTCTCAAATGCAGATTGGATGGGCGCTCCAAAATTTTTGCTTGAAGTCTTTGCAAATGAAGACGTAGAGAAGAGGGTTGATAAAGCTGTTTGAGCAAGCCATCAAGGTTGAAAAAAGTTGGCCAACATAAATCACAATCCAGATATTAGGATGCCATGTGTGGCTTCCATATGAAAACATGAGGGAAAATACATGGGGTTGGAAACCAGCAAATAAAGAAGGAAATGATGACAGCAGCAATGACTTTGAATGGTTTGGTAGATGTTGATCTGTGGTTTCTTTGAATGTGCAAAAAGATCACAGTGTAACAGAAGATAATGATGGCAAAAGGTATAACAAACAGAACAATACATCTTATCATGAATTGTGCACGTTCCATTGCCCATTCTTTATAACAAGCCACAAAGTTATCATCACTATCATCTGCATGTGTATTTATCAAGTAAGATACATTGAGTAGAAGAGATACAATCCAAATTGCAAGAACAACTTTCACAGCCAGTCTCACGGTGCGATGGTTTTGACACCAAACAGGGAAGACTACGGAGATGCAGCGATCAATGCTGATGATGGTGAGTTGTAGGACACTGGCAGACATATTGAGATATGCTGAAAGAAGACAGAGCTTGCAGATGACGGTTCCAAAAGGCCACTGTCTGCCAAGGACAATGTAAGCCATGAGTAAGGGAAGGAAAAAGCAGAAGATAAAATCGGCTAAAGCTAAACTCAAGAACCAAACAGAGTTGACCGTCTTCTTCATCCTGAAGGCAGCAAACCAGATGACCAGACCATTTCCAGTGATTCCCAGCAAAAATATGCCAGATATAACCCACCATGTATGAAATACCAATTATTTTAAAGAAAGTATTATAGAATTCTTCATTTGTTTTAAATTCTTCGGTGGTGTTGGTCTCCATACTTCCAAACATGTCAAGATATGAAGTTTTCATACTCTGCAAAACCAAAATATGTAAATGTGTTTTAGGCAATATGTAACAAAGATACATTGCGGTTTCTGAAGACTGCTGTAGAAACATGACAACGAAATTGAAAACTGTATTCTTCCTGCACTTTTTTTTTTTTTTGAAGTCCGCGAACGTGTGAAAAATGAAAAACCCGTAAGTGTACAAAAAACGCGCTAGTGCAAAACCAACACAAAAAAGTGCACTTAGGGGTGTGCTTTGTCCATCCCCCTGAAGGGGTTGGATCTCTACCCTGATCCCCCGGGGCACGAAGCTCCTGACAGGGACAAGGTTCCCATGTGGTCCACCTAGCCAAAAGGCCTGGCGGACCCCGTTCCTTGTGGCCAGCCTAAGCCAGCCACCAAGTACTTGGTAAGGGGGCTCTCCCGAAGAGAAAACCCCCTAGGGACAGGGGAGGAAGGAACCAAAAGGCCACACATCCTCCCCCTGCACTCTTCCTGCACTAGGGGAGTTGGCGTAAAAAAAGCGTAAATGGGCTGCAGTCACTGCTTGGCCTTCATGGGATGCACTTGCCTTGCTGCCCTCACAAGACTGGGGAGATCTAGGAGCACTGCAGGAACGATAACCAAACAGAGGCTTAGCCTGCGGATGTTCCATCATTCTTTCACATCTCATCGTTTTGTGGACTGTTTGTGCCGTACTCATGAGATGAATTTGGAGCTTTTATGATTTTGTGAGTATATTACTTACCTTTTTACATATTAAATATTTTAAAGGGTAACCTCCCTGGTGGTCTAACTAATCAATATTTTTGAATGTCAAAGCGGCACACTGTTTTGCATGGATATTTGTAGTTTTATATTGTAGGCCTGTAATTCTCAGGAATAACTCACTTAAATCTGTCCGAACAAGAGTCTAGTAATGATAAAGCTTGAAACAAGTTATCATAAATTATAATATAATAAAGAATTGTAACAAATAATAATAATATAATAATAATACATTTAATTCAATAATGTAATCAAACCAAAAACACGGAAATTTGAAATATAGCGCCAAGTTCGCACATCACTGAGGTCAGTCGCAGAATCGTTTTCAGTGTCTGATGAGGAATTTCCCCCACAAATCATTATCACTCAATTCTGCAAGTGGTTCTGATTTACTATCGCTGTTCTCTAGCCGGTCTAAAACCGCTTTTGACCTAAAGAGACGCTTTTTGGACGCCATGGACGTTTCTCAGTTTCCAGGCAGAAAGAACAGTAAAAATGCAGGCACGGCGCACAGGACAAAGCACTCGGGACAAAATGTATGTGAAATGGTTTGATACAGTAATGTAATACTAACAGATTACAATGTATTGTGTGTATGTCATGATTTTAGTTTTTTGAATTTCCCGCTGGTTCCCCCTTCCCTCTGTACCTACACTTCCAGGGAAGGAAACCCGGAAGACGGATGCCAGCATCGGCCGGAGGACATGACTGGAGGACACAGCAGGAGGACATTTGGGGATCGCAGGACAAGGTAAGGATCGAGAGATCGCAGGACAAGGTAAGGATCGGGGGATCGCAGGACAAGGTAAGAATCGGGGGATCGCAGGACAAGGTAAGGATCGGGGGATTGCAGGATGAAGGTAAGGATCGGGGGATCACAGTACAAGGTAAGGATCAGGGGATCGCAGGACAAGGTAAGGATCGGGGTCACAGGACAAGGTAAGGATCGGGGGATCGCAGGACAAGGTAAGGATCGGGGGATCACAGTACAAGGTAAGGATCGGGGGATCGCAGGACAAGGTAAGGATCGGGGGATCGCAGGACAAGGTAAGGATCGGGGGATCACAGAACAAGGTAAGGATTGGGGGATCGCAGGACAAGGTAAGGATCAGGGGATCGCAGGACAAGGTAAGGATCGGGAGATCGCAGGATGAAGTAAGGATCGGGGGATCGCAGGATGAAGTAAGGATCGGGGTATCTCAGGACAGGGTAAGGATCGGGGGGATCGCAGGACAAGGTAAGGATTGGGGTATCACAGGACAAGGTAAGGATAAGGGGATCGCAGGACAAGGTAAGGATCGGGAGATCGCAGGATGAAGTAAGGATCGGGAGATCGCAGGATGAAGTAAGGATTGGGGTATCTCAGGACAGGGTAAGGATCGGGGGATCGCAGGACAAGGTAAGGATTGGGGTATCACAGGACAAGGTAAGGATCGGGGGATTGCAGGACAAGGTACGGATCGAGGTATCACAGGACAAGGTAAGGATCGGGGGATTGCAGGACAAGGTACGGATCGAGGTATCACAGGACAAGGTAAGGATCAGGGGATCGCAGGACAAGTAAAGGATCGGGGGATCGCAGGACAAGGTAAGGATCGGGGGATCGCAGGACAAGGTAAGGATCGGGGGATCGCAGGACAAATAAAGGATCGGGGGATCGCAGGACAAGGTAAGGATCGGGGGATCGCAGGACAAGGTAAGGATCGGGGGATTGCAGGACAAGGTACGGATCGAGGTATCACAGGACAAGGTAAGGATCGGGGGATCGCAGGACAAGGTAAGGATCGGGGGGATCGCAGGACAAGGTAAGGATTGGGGGATCGTAGGACAAGGTAAGGATCAGGGGATCGCAGTACAAGGTAAGGATCAGGGGATCGCAGTACAAGGTAAGGATCGGGGGATCGCAGGACAAGGTAAGGATCGGGGGATCGCAGGACAAGGTAAGGATCGGGGGATCGCAGGACAAGGTAAGGATCGGGGGATCGCAGGACCAGCACTACAGTGTAATCCCGAGTGTGGCTTGGGTTACTGCTTTTGGTACTGTAAATGAACCTCGAGCCACACTCGGGATTACCGCTAGGAAGGTTAATGCACTAGGTCAGTGTTCCCTCTTGAAGAATTGTCATTGCTTTGTTACAGCACTACAAAGGCTTTATGTCAGATGAGAAAAGAAACCCAACACTAAATCAAAAAATTGTAAAGACATATATCTCGTACATCTTTTTTGATGTATTATCAAGGAGGATTTTAAAGCTAACTTATCTCACCATAACCCCTAAATACATTCTAAAATCTCCAATATAACAGTGCAAACAACTCCATTAAATAGAAAAAAATACATTATACCTAACATAAGAATGGATCCTCTGTAAAAACTAAAATCAAAACATGCAAACAGAATTTAAGTAATATGTAGCAAAGGTACTGTGTGACCTCTGGAGATCACTGAAAAAACACCCTGACCAAGCAAACTGGGGGAAATTTCATCGGAATGGATTTTTCTAAACAATTTTTACTGTCTCGCTAGGGGCAAAATGAAAAAGGAAGCAAGGCATTAAATTAACAAATAATAAAGACAATATACTGTATATACTCTGTAAGTGATCACTTTGAAAAATGTATCCAAATGTCACTATATCGCGCCTGATGCAAAAAAAAATTACCACCCAAATAGCAAAAATTAATAAAAGTTTGTGAAAACTTATTGCTGCCACTATAACTTGCTTTAAAGATCAAAATGTGAGTATCCCTCCAATTTAGTGAATACAAGCGGTGCATACACTCAGGAGTGTATTTACCACAAGGCAAACAAGGCACTTGCCTAGGGCGGCATTTTTCAGGGGGGCAGCGCCTCCCCCCAGGAGAAGGGATGAAAGAAGGGACATGCACGCCATAGGAACCAAGTGGGATCTGAGAGAGGCTGTGGGCTGCTTGATGGTGTATGTAGAGACTGACTCTAGTTCCCGGGGATGTCTGGAGCTCTGAAGATGAGTGTCTTTCTCCCTATCTCCGGGGGGGGGGGTAATGGAAGGTTCTCCCAGGTGGGGGGCAGGGGTGTTTGGTCGACAACGATTTTTGTGTTTGCCTAGGGCAGCACAAAACCTAAATACAACACCAGGGGCAGACTGACCATTTGGAAACTCGGGCACTGCCCGAGTGCCCAGGGTCAGTAGGGGGCCCCATGAGATTCCCCTGGTACCTTTTTCATAGGTTTTTTAGAGTTTGGGCAAGGACACAGGGGCCCCCATGATCCCCCTATTGCCCGGGGGCCCCATGAGTTGTCAGTCCGCCCCTGTACACCACTGGACGTCATCACTGCCCGGCCAATCACGCGGTCAGAGCCCGTGAACCAGTAAGGAAGATCTGGGGAAGATGGAAGCCCTGTCAGCAGTTTAATACCACTTTAAGTTATGATACAGAATGCATATGATTCTTCTATTATATTGGTGATAGGGATCATTTACTTACTTGTTTTGCCTGTTTTGATGTCTGTTCCTTCTTTGTCTTGCTTTTGCAGGAACCGTGTCTGCGCAGACCTTTATATGTATATGGCGATGCACAAAGTTGCCAAAATAATTTCAGACGATGTGATGACATTCATCCTTGCTTAACAGGAAAACAGTACCCAGGAACAGATAACATCTCCCAACAAAATGCATACAAAACCAAGCTCAAAATGCTTTAAAGGGCCCATCTTTAAAAAAAATTGATATTCAGTACAGGGTGAACACCGAAATGTAGAATATTTACTGACTACCTATAACTCTCCAGAGTTTTGGCAGCAAGAACTTTGCACTTGAGTTCAAAATTTATTTAGGTTTTGTGCTGCCCTAGGCAAAAGAGCCTGACAATGACCAAGAACACATCTGCTCTCCACCTGGGAGAGCCTTCCACTACCACTGCCCCCCATACACCAGCCACAATCCCCCATGGCGAGAGAGAGAGAGAAAGACACTCACCTTTACAGCTCCGGACATCCCCGGGAACAAGAGTCGGGCTCCCCATACACCATCATGAAACCCACAACCTCTCTCGGAACCCACCAGGTCTCCATGCCGTGTGTGTCC